TAGAAAATTAGATTTTTTTAAGTTAAGAATTCAATATTAGATTTGGAAGTAAAAGTAAATAATTTATTTATTTTTCCAATATTTCTTTAAATTCTAACAGTGAACTGGTTATCAAGAAGAATTAATTGAGCTTAACAAGAAAACCTTAACCTAAACTTAAGATTTGACAAAGTAAACTTGTTTAAATTCTAAAAATTATATATTTTCTTTTTTAACAATTTTCTAAATTAACCAAATTTAATTAAAAACAAGTCTTAATAAAACAGTACTTACAAACCTAAGCAACCTTAAATAATCTAACCATATTGTCCAAAAATATTAATCTGGTAATATCCATAAAAATATACAAATATTAAATAAATTGTTTAAAGTTTAAATATTTATATTATCGTAATAACTTATAAATATACTATTATCATTAATTATGTAACATCAATCATAAATAAGTATTGAGTTTAAGAATTAAAAAAGATTCTTTTTTTAAATTTATTAATAAATATATTACTTCTATAAAAAATCTACTAAATATAATTTATTTCTTAAAACTAAAATTTTGTATATTCCTTATTAATAACTAAAATAAAAATATTTTAGTAATAAGTGTAAAAATATATTTATTTATAAATAAAAAATTTTTATAAATATTATTACTAAATAATATAATATTTATTACCAAATAATTTTTATAAATATTATTATTAAATAATAAAAAAAAATAAATAAAAAAAAGTAAAAATTAAAAATCTTTTTCTAAATAATCAATTTTCATAAATAAAATAATATTACTAAACTTTTATTTATGAATAAATATTACTAAACTTAGGTTCAAACCACTTAATAAAAATAACCAATTTCTTAACAATCTCTTCTTCAACATTAAATCTCTCATAAACACAAATAACACTCTTAACAAAATCATTTATCTCTTTTAATCCTTTAAATAATACTTTAATATCATTCTTAATATTATTAAACATAAATTGTAAAATATAATCATCTTTCTTTGAGTGTAAGTTTAACCAATAAAAATGAGGTATTGGTTTATTATTTAAATAATAAATTAAATGATTAATTTCTTCTTTACAAGGTAAGTCAGGTAATATTCCTTTTTCTTCATTTATAGTTACTTTATGTATTACACCAAAGAAATGAACCAATACTTCTAATAAACTAAGTTTATCTAATTTTATTAAATCAGAGTGTATTAAATATAACATAATCATACATTCTAATTGTTTATCTTTGTTAAGTATTAATATATCACTTAAGTATGTTTTATTATCATTTATTAAGTAATTTAATTGTAATAAAACATTTCTTTTATAATTAAATAAATCATTTCTTTTGTTAATAAATAAATCAATTGATTTATTAACATCACTCTTTTTAAGGATTCCTAATTTATAATTCAAATTATACTTAATTCAACTTAATTATCAATTAAATTATTACTTAAATTAATTGAATTAGCATTAAATTATTATTTGATTGGTTAACTGTTTGAATTATTACTAGTATTATCATTAGTCAATTGAATTAATATTCAAATTAACTGAAATTAGTTGAATTATTATTGATGATTCTTCTTAAGGTAATTAATTAACTTAGTAATAAACATACTATGATTAACAAATGATTCTTTTATAAACTCATTGGTACAATAAATTACTTCTACATAATTAATAATATTCTTAGTAATAATAGTATTTCTATCACTAATTATCATGTTCTTTACTTTGTTCTCTTCTACACCATAAAATACAACATTGCCTTGTAAATCATACCCTCTTCGTCCTGCTCTGCCACTCATTTGTTTATAAGCTAAAGAATAAAGAATATCATTGGTAAAAACTACTGTTTTACATGGCATGTTTATACCTAAAGAGAGTGTGTCTGTGGCAAATATTACTTGTAAGTGTTTTTTTCTAAATAATATTTCTATTACACTTCTAAATTTCTTATTCATTCCTTCGTGATGTAAACCTATCCCTAATTTTAACATATTCTTGTAAATTGTACTGGTATTCTTTATGTTATTAGTCATTTCTTTTAATTCATAATCACTTAATTTGTATTTTTCATCTGTAAAGGAATATTCATACTTCTCTTTAAGTAATGAATATTCTTCTTCTTCTTGTATTGATTTACTTTTCCACACATCTTTTCCTTTCTCAATTACATCCCTTGTTCTCTTTTTTTCTTTTAATAATTTATCTTTTATTCTTGTATCTGATACATTTAAATTACTTAACTCATTGTACAACCTTAATGCTAATAAATCTACTATCCTTCTATCAGTGTTAAAAATAATACAAGGTAACATTTCTTTACTTTTTAAAGTATTGCATAAATTAGAAATATTATTTAACATATAATCAATGGTAGTAAAATAATACACTTCTTTAGTATTGTCATCAGAAGTATCATTTGGTTTTATTTTTTTTAATTCTTCAAATACCTCTCTTGATTCTTTAGTAAGTAAATAATACAATTTATTTACTTCTTTCTCATAACATTTTTTCATTAATCCATCTTTGTACAGTTTCAAGTAAATAATTTTCATAAAGTATTACATCTCTTTTGTTTAGTAAATTACTTTTAAAATATTTCTGTGGTCTTATTTCATGTATCAATGATTTATTTTTTATTACATGGTAAATCGAATAATACAAATTTAATATTTCATCTGGTAAGAAATTAAGATCATTGGTAAAACCATATTCTTTTATGTAATCATAAGTATAAGCAAAAAGAGTGTTAATTGGTATTAGTGTATTATTAAATACAAATGGTTTAATATCACAATACCTTTCTTTATATTCTATGCAGTAAATTAATTTATCATCACTGTTATTAACATTGCTCTTTTTATTATTACCATTACTCTTTTTAAAATTATTAATATTACTGTTTTTAAAATTATTACCATTGTTGTTTTTTAAATTATTAACATTGTTGTTTTTTAAATTATTAATTACTGTTTTAGTATTACAATCGTTTTTTTACACCCTAAAGTATTACTTTTACACCTAAATATTTCATATACCTGTTCATAAAACTCATTAATATTCCCAACAGTTGCACTTAACATAACAATAGGACACTTTACAACATGTAAAATTCTTTCTACACTTTCATTCTCACAAATTAAATGACATTCATCTAAAATTACATAACTTACCTTTCTTGTTAATAAAATTTGTTCTGCCATACTTGGGATGGTTAAAATTACTTGTGAATTAAATGGATTAATAGAATATTCTTGCATGATTTGTCCTTGTAAAAATTGTTTAGTGGTTCTTTGGGAGAATCTTGAATAAATGTCTGCTGTTACTTGGTTTACCAATGCTTTTGTAGGAAGAATAAATAAAATTATTTGATCTGTTAAGCTTAGTAATTTATGAATCACATAAAAACAAATGAATGTTTTACCTGAAGAAGTAGGTGCTGAGACTATCACTGACTTATTTTCATCTATCAGATCTAAAAGTTGTACTTGCCAGAAATCTGGCTCAAAAAACACTCTTGGATCTTTACGTGAATCTACTGATCTTTTCAGGTATGGTCCGTAATACTTAAGCAAAAAAGATATGTCATTGTCATTAGAAGTGGCTTCTTTCTTAAAATTGTACTTTGCTGTGTCTAACTTTTTCTTTTTCTACCAATTCATGCGCTGTTGATTCAAATCCTAATTTTCTTAAAATATCAATTGACCAATCAAATTCTTCTAAAAAAGTGCTATGATATTTTTCTATGTAATTTAATATGTTAAAATAACAATTAACTTTTTTACCTTCAAAAGGTTTTTCTTTTCTTGACTCTGTCAACCATTCATTGTAAAAAAATTCAATTTTAAGTAAAACTACTTTTCTTTTAGCTTCTTCAAATGTGTCATTTATTTTTAATGTCTCAAAAAAGAGATATTTGTCAGTTGAACTTTGGTACTTGTCAAAAAGTAATTTTAGAAAATCATTTTCTTTTTGTTTCTCTGCTAATCTAAGCTTCTTCAAATTCTCTTCTACTATCTTTCTCGTTTTTTGAGCTTGTTTTTACTTCTGATTTCTCTTTTTGAGAAAGTGGAAATAAGTTATCTGTTCCTAAGGAACTGCTTAGCATTTTTAAATGTGATGCATAGTTTTGTTGTTCTTTGACTGATTTTTCTTCTACGTTGATCCTGTAATCCAATTCTGATAAATTTGAAGTACAAATTTTGTTTGCAAAATGCAAATTTTTACCAAAATTTTGTGTTAAATTTTCTGCTGTCAAATCAGGACAGGTTAACTTATTCACTAATGAATAATGAATATGAGGATCATAGAAATATTCTTTGGTTACACTCTTCATTTGTTCTTTTAGTTTGTCACTAATCTTAATAGAATAAAATATTGGCTCAGATTCTTTATAAATTTCATTAATTTTTTTTAAAATATTCTCATCAATATTCTCATCAAATTCATTCAATTCATGCTTTGTGTCAACAAAATGTGTTTTTAAAGGAGCAGTAAGCAAATGTGCATAAATAAAAGGAAATTCAAAATACATATCATTCATCAGAAAAACAAAAGTACCTTCTTTAAAAATAGAATTAATAAAATTGACATTTTCTTCGACTGGAAAAACTAAAATAGCATTAAAAAACTTTTCATTGAATTTCAAATTGAGTCTCTGTCTAAAATATTCGTAGATAAAATCGTATTTACCAGCAGTGTACATAAATGAAGGAACAAGCCCAGATATCTGAAAATTGTAATAAAAGTTTTCTATAGTGTGATGCAATAAATGAAGTGGGACTGAGTCATCCGATAGGTTGTACTTTTTCAAGGTGTGTGCTATCAAACTGTTGAAACAGATTGATATTTTGTTTGTACCTGACAGAATTTTTGTCATTTCTAAGTAGTTTGTTTTTATTTCCATAAAGTTAGGGTAAAATTTTTATAAAATTAATAAAATGTTTTAATTGTTAACCAATAATAATTTGTATTATGTTTTATAAACAAATATCTTCCTTGGTGTAGGGGTTAGCATCTTAGCCTGTCACGCTAAAGACCTGGGTTCGATTCCCAGAGGGAGAGTACTTTTTTTATTACAATTTAATTATAATTATTTATTTTTTTTCGATTAAAATTCAATCTAATAAATAGTAAATAATAAATAAATTATTAGTAAAATTATAATTAATAAAATAATAAATAAAATAATAAAATAAAATAAAATAAAATAAAATAATAAAATAAAATAAAATAAAATAATAAATAAAATAAAATAAAATAAAATAAAATAAAATAAAAAAAAAATAAAAAAAAAAAAAAAAAAAAAAAAAAAAAAAAAAAAAAAAAAAAAAAAAAAAAATAAAATAAAAAAAAAAAAATAAAAAAAAAAAAAAAAAAAAAATAATAAAAAAAAAAAAAAATAAAATAATAAAATAATAAAATAAATAATAAAATAAAATAATAAATATAGTAAAATAATAATTAAAATAATTAATAAAATAATAAAATAAATAATAAAATAAAATAATTAATAAAATAATAAATAAAATAATAAAAATAATAAATAAAAATAATAATCAATCAATGTATAAATTTTAGTATTTATATATAATACAAATATTACCCCATAAAATGGTAGTAATAAAGAAAGAATACAGAATAACAATGCCACTCCAAGTAGAAGAATACAACATAGGACAGTTATATAACGTAGTAGAAATGAGCAAAGAAAATATTGGTACAAAAGTAAAAATAGAACACAATGATGATCATAATCATCCAGAGTTTGGCTTCTGTCGTAAGACAGTAAAAAAGATGGATCTTTCTTCTCATCTACCATCAGTTATTACTTTCTTCTTTCCATCCAAGCTGTTTAAATTAGAAGAGACATCTTTTAACAGCTATCCAGAATGTAGAACATTTTATAAAAGTTGTTTTGCAAATGAATCTACTTTTAACATGTCAATTCACTCAAAACATTTGGATGGAATCCAAGAAAATGTTTTTGGAGAAGAATATGAGATTGTTGATTTAAATTTAGGAAAGAAAATTCTTGACAAAAGATTCAATGTTTTTAATTTCCAGAACGAAAAAAGTAAAAAGATTTTTATGACTGATGGTTGGTTGAATAAGTGTAAGACTGAGAATATTCCTTTTATGACTTGTCATAAGTTAATTTCTCTTGAATTGAATTGCATAAAAGAGAAATGGTTGGCTGAAAAAGTGTTTGGTGAAATTAATAATTTTTTTATTAAAACTCATCAGAGAATTTATGCTACAGCAGATGATTGGTATAATTTAAAAATGGAAGATATTAGAAAATTAGAAAATGAAACATTTTCACAGAAATAAGATATTAATTATTTTCTGAATTAAAATAATATTTTTAAGAAATTTTTATTTTATTTTAAAATTAATATTTTATTTATTTTTATTTATATTAATAAATTAATATTTTATTATAATTTTTATTTTAAATATTAATATTTTATTTATTTTTATTTTGTAGATTAATAAATACAAATATTTCATTTTAAATATATTTTTTTAATTTATTTGTTTCTATTTTTTTATTTAACACGAAGCATAAATAAAAACTTCTTATTAATTCTAATTTAATCATACTTCTCTCTTTGTTCCTCAAACCTTTTCTTTACAAACTCACGTGGCACTGGTAATCTACGTAAATTAGGTGGTTTACCAAAACAACTACCTGCATATTTGTCATTAAAATTATCATATGTAGATTCTTTAGCCATAGGATTAAAAATAAAAAAAATAAAATTTATAAAATTGACCAATTAAATTAAAATTCTCTTTCACTCATAAATCTTTCTACTACGTCATCATTTACTTCTTTTCTGCTTATTTGGTAATCCAATACAAATTGTTGCACTTCTTTAACACATAAATTTTTCATTTCTGAAGAGAGCATCTCTCCATTTTCATAAGCATTTTTTATGCTACAAAGCATTTGGTCATCTTTAAGAAGATAATTTAAGTAAATAAAAGGAATGTCAACTTGTGTGTTACCACCTTCTTTCCTATGTTCCTTCAATGTTTGTCTACCACCAGAAAATGCATGTTTAGTGATTTTTTGTTTTATTTCTTCAGATGTATCAGTTAAAAATACTGCACTAAATTGATCAGAAGCACTCATTTTTTTACCTATTCCTTTAAGTGATGGCATAAACTTGGAATAAATTGTGCTTGGTTTATTTTCTCCTAAAATAGGTGCCTTATCCCTTGCCAATCTAAAATAAGGATCTTGATCAATGGCAGCTGGCACTAAACAATGCTTATAATCCTTAAGAAACTTAAAAGAAGAAGAAAAACAAGGTGCTATCTCTTTAGCAGGGAAGAACACCTGCCCAATATTGCTACTCCCATTAAACCCAAATACCTTCTCTGCCTCATTCAAACTAATTGACTTGGCAATCTTTAAAGTGTTTTCCTCAAATTTATGCGAATAATCAAAATTAGAAAAAATAAAAGTTTTTTCTGAAAAATTAAATGCTAAAATGTCTTTTATATTTTCAAAAGTAAACTTTCTTATTTCTTCAAAAGATTTTTTTGTAAATAAAAACTTTTCATCATCTGTCATTTGGATAACTAATGGTGCATTAAAAGTGTCCTGTAAATATTTAGTAAATACGAATGGAATAGCATGTCCTAAGTGCATACTCTCCGAGGATGGTCCTCTGCCAGTGTAAATATAAAACTTTTTTGAGATAATTTTGTCAAAGTCTCTGTGTGCAAAAACAAGCTTTCTTCTTAGTAATTCATGCACTTCTGAATTTGTTTGTTTTTTTTATTTCTTCAAGTAAATTTTGTTCAATGGGTGAGCAGCCAAAATGATTTATTATTTTTTTATAATCTACCCCTGTTTCTTCATTACAAGATACTTCCCATGGTGTAACTATTTGTTCATTAGGTAAAGACATGGGTAGTAAATTATTTTTTTTATAAACTTAAAATATTTTTTAGTTCAAAGATTTATTTTTATTAAATTGAGAAAAGTGTAAAAATGTTAAAAATTAAAAAAAATATTAATTTTTTTTAAATTAATATTTTTTTTATTTGTTATCCCATGAAAACAGAAAAGAAACCAGAAAGAAATATTCTTTATGACATATTTTATTATTGGATAGCTGGCAGTAAATTCTTAAGGAAGTGCAAAAAGCCAAATAAAAGTGAGTATAAACAGTTACTCAGGGTTTACATAGGTGGTATTCTATTTTTAGGTGCTTTGGCATATTTTATTAAGCTTATTCACATACCAATTAATAACATCATTGTAGGGAATAAAGAATAAATTTTCTTAAGAATTTGTATTCTTGCATAAAATAAGTTCATTTTTTAGATTACTATAAAAATAAAATAAAAAAAAATAAAAAAAAAAATAAACATAAAAAATATTTAATTAAAATAAAAATAAAAATAAAATAAAATTAAATAAAATTAAAATTTAAATAAATATTTAATTAAAATAAAAATTAATATTTAATTAAAATTAAAATAAAAATAAAAATAAAATAAATAAAATAAATAATAAAATAAATAAATAAAAATAAAATAAAATAAAAATAAAATTAAAAATTAAAATTTAAAATTAAAATTAAAAATAAAATTAAAAATAAAAATAAAAATAAAAATTAAAATTAAAATTAAAATTAAAATTAAAATAAAAATAAAAATTAAAATTAAAATAAAAATAAAATAAAATAAAATAAAATTAAAATTAAAATTAAAAATAAAATAAACAAAAAAATAAAAATAAAAATAAAAACTTAAATTAATTAAAATTATAAAAAATTAAAAAATAAAACTAAAAAAATAAAAATTAAAATAAAAATTAAAATTAAAAATTAAAAATAAAATAAAATAAAAATAAAAATAAATAAAAATTAAAATAAAATAAAATAAAATAAAATAAATAAACAAACATGATTCAAATGTTAAACACCTTTAGAAATTTATCATTCACAAATAGGTACATAATTAACATGGCTTACATGGTAATAACATGTATAATCTCAAAACACACCACTGAATACTTTCACATTCCTTTTTCAATGCTATTCTTCATAGTAAATTATGGCTGCTACCACACTGAACTTTATTTATCACTTATTTTACTAAACATAACTGTAATATTATTATTTGATAAAAGTAACATAAGAACATATTCTTTGATGGCACTTAATTTATTTACCTTTGGCATTGTCAAGCAATTTAGTGATTTAATTGACTTGGATGTAAAAAATAAAAATAATATTAGCATTCAATTTATGCTGTTAGTCCCAAAAATGTATTACACTTCTAAAGAATTGATTGACGTAAGGTACTTATTTTATTTGCCTGGTATTTTAGCAGGACCTATTATTCCTTTATTTGATTTTATAAACAGAAAAGAGAGCTTTTTTTATTTAGAAAAATTAATTTATACCACTATTTTTGGTGTAATTTTAATGTTAAGAAGTTACTTTTCTTATGAAATGTTAGTCTCTAAAGAAAACCAAGGTATAAGAAGTTTTGTCTTTTATATTTTTTATGGCTTTCTTTTAGAAGCCAATTTTATTTTGCTTGGAGTTTTTCTTCATTTTGTTACGCTTTATGCGGATTAAAAGTGGACAATTTAGATCCAATAAAATTTGAATCAGCTGAGAATGTACAAGAAGTAATGAGAAGGTGGAATGTTTACGTAAGCATTTGGCTTAAACAAAGTGTTTTTTTGCCAAGTAAAAAATATGGAAATACTTTGGCTGCTTTGTTATCTTGTATTGTTTCTTCTATGTGGCATGGTTTTTATATTTCTTATTTTATGATGTTTCTTTCTTTTCCATTTTGTGTCACTCCCTTAAAAATTTAACTAGGATTTATCAAACTTTTATACCTGTCAAAATATTAAAATTTATTAATATTTTTATTACCTCTCTCCTAGTTTCCTTTTTTTCAGTTCCATTTTACTTTTTAAGTGTTACCAAAACTATAGAAGTGTGGAGACAAGTGTATTATTATGGTTTAGTTTATGTTTTAATAGGTTATCTATCAATGGGTTTTACGTTAATATTTAATCAAAA